CCCTCCCCGTGCCGCCCCAACGCCTCGCTGGCCGCGCACCCAGACTTCGCTGCGCAGCCGGAGCACGTCCGCAACTTCCTGCTGTACCGCCACTGCCGAGCCTTCCCTGAGCTGCGCGCGCCGCCCGCCGCCAAGTGCGCGGGGCCCGTGTTCCTGCTGCTCGCCATCAAGTCCTCGCCTGCCAACTACGAGCGCAGGGACGTGGTGCGGCGCACGTGGGGCCGCGAGCGGCTGGTGCAGGGCGCCGCGCTGAGGCGCCTCTTCCTGGTGGGCACCGCCGCCAACCCGCACGAGGCCGCCAAGGTGAACCGGCTGCTGGCCCTGGAGGCCAGGGAGCACGGGGACATCCTGCAGTGGGATTTCCACGACTCTTTCTTCAACCTCACACTGAAGCAGGTACTCAGGAGGACGGGAGGAGGGAGCTCCCGGGAAGAGATCATGCGAGCCGGGGTTCTGAAGGATGCGTAGGAGTTTGCCGGGGGAAACAATAAAATTGTATTCACAAATGCATAGTACAGGCGAGGCACAGGGGCCAGAGACACCCCCCGGGTCCCTCTACTCACGCCTCCAGTCCTCACTGACCTTGGGGGTGGCGACTGAGGTCTTGCCCAGATGCTAGGGTTAGAAGCACCGGGTAAGGTGCTCAGCCAGGAGACTGAGGCAGAAGGGCCTCGAGTTCAACGCTGTGGTGAAAGTGGAACAGGGGCAGGGTTGGGTGCAGCCCAGGGTGGGCACGGGGAGGTGGCCAGGCCCAGGGTCTCAGCCGCATCTCCAGGCCATGTCCCCCTCCCCCAGGTGCTGTTCCTGGAGTGGCTGAAAGCCCAGTGCCCCAACACCAGCTTCCTGCTCAATGGGGACGATGACGTCTTTGCACACACGGACAACATGGTCACCTTCCTGCGCGACCAAGACCCCGAGCGGCACCTGTTCGTGGGGCACCTGATCCAAGGCGTGGGCCCCATTCGCGCGCCCTGGAGCAAGTACTTCGTGCCCCGCCTAGTGACCGAGGCCGAGCAGTACCCGCCCTACTGCGGCGGGGGCGGCTTCCTGCTGTCCCGCTTCACAGCCCAAGCCCTACAGCGCGCGGCGCCCGCCCTGGACCTGCTGCCCATCGACGACGTCTTCCTGGGCCAGTGCCTGCAGCACCAGGGCCTGCGCCCCGCCTCACACAGCGGCGTGCACACGGCCGGCCTGCAGGCGCCCTCAGCCCGCCTGTCCTCCTTCGACCCCTGCTACTACCGAGAGCTGCTGCTGGTGCACCGCTTCCGGCCCTACGAGATGCTGCTCATGTGGGACGCGCTGAACCAGCCCGACCTGGTCTGCGGACACCAGACTCGTGTCTACTGAGGCCGCCTCCTGTTCACAGGCAAAAGGCCACCACCTTCCTCCCAGGAAGCTGAGGCCTTGGCCTTCCTGGGTGCGCTGAGCACAGGGTGTGCTAGGGAGAGTCGGATGTGTGATCAGCTCCTAGCCATCCTTCAAAACCCACTTTGCACTGCCCACACCGTGCTCTCTAGACTCTAGGCGGCAGTGCAGCAGTGACTCAGCCTTGCTTCCGGAGAATAGCTTCTGGTCCAATCTGAGTCCTGGCTGCCGCAGTCCAAGACCAACCAGGACAGTAGGCCAAAGTGAGGGGTGGCCAGGGGTGGCCTCAGTGATGAGTACTGGGATCCGACCCTCACCCGGCACACAGGACAGAGTTCTGCTGATAGGCAGGTACAGAGGAGGAAGGGGACTATGAATAATGTCGGTGCTCAGGGCTTCTGGGGTCCCCAGCAGAGCTCTGTCCACACACTTGTGTCCTCAGGACACCAGGGAAGGACACTGGGGTGGGGGGAGGAGAGGGTGCTCTAGCAGCCCCGCCCCATGCGGGCCTGGGGTCAGCAGGGCACTGGGGTGCCCCCCCACAGGCCTTGTGGAGGCTGGACACAAGTTCTCAGGGAATAAAACCACTTGTGCAAGCCTGGCGTTCTCTATGTTTGGTTTGGGTTTTATAAGACAAGGTTTCCCTGTAGGCTGGCCTTGAACTCAGAGACCCTCCTGCCTCAGCCTCCTCAGTGCTGGGGTTGCAGGTGTGCACCCCATGCCTGGTCACCTGCATTTCTTCCTTTTCTGAGAAGTGTCTACTCACTTCACTCCTGCATCTCCTGTTGAGTCTTTTATCTGGGGTAGTCTAAAAAAAAAAAGAAAAAAAAAAATATATATATATATATCCTCCATCTGAGCAACAGCCGGCAAAATTTTTCCCCATTCCGTGAGTTGTCACTTCACTTGGTGGTTTGTTTTGCTGAGAAGATGCTTTTTCACCCACTGAGGTCCCGTTCGTTGAGTCCTGCTGTTACTTCTGCAGTGGGAGCTCTGTTCCGAAAGTCTTTCCTACTCCTGTGACTTCAAGAGTTGTAACTATTTTATCTTCCGGTAGGTTCCATGTTTCTGTTGTGTTTAGATCTTTGATCCGTTTTGATTTTAATTTGGTGCAAGGTAAGAGAGAAGGGTTCTGCTCCAGCTCCTGCAGGCCGATAGCCAGCTTCCCAACACTAGCTGCCGAAGCCTCTCCCTTCCCAGGTGCGCCCAGCCCCTTGTGTCTAGCCCAGGCCCACAGTCCAGGGGCCAGCCCATGCCATTGCCAGCACGGTAACCTTGTGGACTAACCTGAAGCCTGGGAGTGTAGTACCTCCTGCTTGTCTTGTTTATCCAGGAAACACTACTGATTTTTTATGTGTTGGTCTTTGTATCGTGCTACTTTGCTGAAATTGGTTGGTAACTCTAGGAATTCCTTGGCGGAAGTCTTTAAAACTTTGGGCTAGAGTATCCTACCAGCCACAGATAGCGATCACTTGGGCTCCTCCTTCCCTATATATACCTTTTTGTCACCTGGCTGCTCTAGGTAATGTCTTGAATACTGTGTTAAAGGGACGAGGTGGGTGGTCATGGATAACCTTGTTTGCTCCCGATTTTAGGGAGAAAGCTGTCAGTTTCATCCCATTCAATTGGATGCTAGCCATCGGTTTGTCATGAATGGCTTTTATCAGATTCAGGTACAGTCCTTCTGCGTGTGGGTGCCAGGCTGGCATTGAACTCCCGTTAGTCCTCCTGCCTCAGCCTCCCAAATGCTAGGGTTACAGGTGTCCACCACCACACAGGGCCTAGGGATGGTCCTTCTTTTTTTTTTTTTTTTTT